GGAACATAAAATCGTGACCCCTTACAGCAAATGTGTTCACCGCCACCTCTAAATGAACTTACAGGTCGCTTCAAATTAGCAAGATTTAACAGCGATTTGATTTTCAATATCTACTTTAATAACTTCATGCGTCAAGTTAAATTTGTATTGATTTTACTCTCAAGCAATCAAATGTTTGCAACATCTTGACAAACTTTCATTGGCTGTTAAATTTTGTCCGAGATGGAAAAAAAAAATCATCCCGGAGACAAGTTATTGGAATCAACATTTGCACACTTCAAATCTTGGAATTATTGTTGAAACATTAATTTCAGCCAGAGAATCCTAGATGTTGCATGATTGCGAGCGTGATTGATGTAGTGCATACACAGTAAAATAACGCATACATCATCGCACCGATTCAAGAACCTGAAATTAAAACATCGCTTTCATCCATGATCTTGATGTATAGCATGATTTAAGTTTGATATCAAAAATTACCTGATGAAAATGTTACCTGTGGTGAATGATATGTTGATTTCATTAATTACACGACTAAATTATCTGTTAATTACCCTAGAGGCAAGGGGAAGCAGATGACACTCATTTAACAGGTTGATTTAGAGCTTTATTGAGAACCTTATTATGTTATTGAGGCTGTTATTATTACATTATTAAAATATTACTTCAGTGTATCTATCAGGGAAAGACATTAAAATGGCCTACAGTACCAGTATTTAATTTTAAATTTTAAATTGTTTTAGATGTCAGTAAGGTGTCAAGTTTATCCACAAAATACCATCCTTGAATATTTACACAGCAAATGGTGACAAGAAATACAACCTAATTATCACAACAATAAATAACATACAATATTTGACCTCTTAATTAATCTATTGGACAGTTAACTTTTGAGTTACAAGGACAAATCATTATACTTGAAGATGACCAATTAAAGGAATGAAACACTGAATCCCAACAAAATGATATGTCTAACTTCTGGAGTCTGTTGCATATTATTTTATCTTGGACCAATCAGTAACCTTGTGCCTAATAATGAGAATCATGCTAATTAGGAATATACAAACAGTTAATAAATAAACAATTAATGGGAAGGCACTATGATTAATGGAAGAATAATCTTTTTGGGTAGGGGAATAATGAACATTTTAAAGCATATCACATCGCACAGAACCTTATTATATTAAAAGATATTCATAATAAAGAATGATAGGCCTACAGCTACTGTATACCATACTTAGTACTATATTGAGGCAGCTGAAATATCAAACTTTAATACTACACTATTCAACAGAGTTGTGAAATTCAAATGTTAGATTATAAATTTATATCTTCTTTGTCAAAAACTAATTTGGTGTTTATTTTAATTTTAATATTTTTTTTATTTATTTAGGCACACAATACATGTGCCAAGGATTGTCGATAGCGAATATATCACTGTCCTACTTGTAGGCGACAATCCCTTACACATACAAACATACACACACACACACGATGCTTTACACAAACTAAATCTCAATATGAGATTTAGGGAGTGGAGTTGTTTTGGTCGTGAGAAAAAATCCTGCAACACTGACAGGAATTGAACCCAGGACCCTGGGATTGGAAGGCAAGCATCTTAACCAACAAGCTATTCAACTCCACTAAAATGATGAATTAATAATATAAATTTATAGTGTAAACTATACCATAAGTATTGTTGCTAAGCCTTAATTCATAAATGAATAAATTATTTATTTACTTTATATATATATTTTTTTGCCTTAATTCATAAATGAATAAATTATTTATTTACTTTATATATATATTTTTTTTTCATACAAAGTATTTCTCAATCAAAACCAAAACATCCTAATGATATCTCAGTCATACTCATACTGTATATAGATGCTAGCATTAATTATAATTATCTTATAATATGATATCCAATTATAAACATGGAATATATTGTTACACATTAATATAATACTTATTAATAAATATGAATACAAGAAGCTTGTTATGTGAAGTAAAAATAATATTAAGTACATACTATAGTGGATTGGTGTAACTGATCCCTTGCAGAAATTTCTAATAAAATGATGATTTCAATCAAACAGAAAAAAAACCCCATTCTGTAACACCTTTTAATTAGAATTCCTCATTCCAAATGTTCTCAAGCACGGGCAATGAGCAATAATCACAGATAGACTAATTTGATAGGCATTTTGGGAGCTAGCAATGTGGTCCCATGGGAAGCGTTAAACGTATCAATGATTGTAAGCATAAACAAGTCCTCGCACAAGTAGAAAGATAAATATGAATTTATTGCGTGCAGCTCAGTTATTATCAAAATGTACATTGTGAACGGCCGCCCGTTAGATCTCACGTTTACAGTATCTTCAGATTTTACAACGGAACTCCAATGCAAGTATAAATAAAAGGTGAGCGGTGACTGTGATGAATACTGCCATCGAGATGGAAACAATTTTTGTTTATTAAAAGATCACCGACGATAATGTCGGTAGTTTTGGTTTCACATATGTCACTCTTAAGATCTGAAATTACCCTCCTAGTAGCATTCATGAGTTTATATCAATATTCATTGATAAAGCACCGAAAGGTCACCATTTTGCCAAATACTTTTATTCTTAATTTGGATCTTCCGACAGTTTACGTCACTTTTAACAAGCATCACTGAAATGCACTATGATCTTAGTGCGATATAAATGCCAAACTAAATATAGTGAAGATATTCAAGACGACATTAAGTAACATATAAACCGCATTAAGACTTTCCATGGAAAATAACCAAAGTACAATACGAAAGACTTTTATTAATTTAAATGAAAAATTTGATAAGGAATGATGTTTTATTGCCCTACCTGATGTGTAATGCTTAGTACAGCACAATATTGTGAAAAGAAAAAAAATCTAGCAAGTTAACGAAACCCACAACCCCCAGAATTAGCCAGGTGTCTTAAACATTAGATTAGTTAAGTTTAATGTTAAAATAAAAAATATCACATAGTGTAAATAATAATTCAACAGTATCAATATAAACAGTATCTGATGCTCTTTTCAAGAACATTTTGAATTTATTCTTTTTCAAACACAGATCTAGAATGTTCTTTTCTCATCATGTAACTGAATACACTACGTAAGAAATATGTCAATGTAATTACTGTGGTGTGAAAACCTGCGATGACACAGCTGATGACAAATTTACCATTTTATTTTACGTTTTACGAAAGTAGTACATAAGCCAACGCAATGCAGTATGCTAGGGTATGAACGAAATAAATAGTACAGTAATATGTTCTTAAAGCTCGTAAAAAAACAGCTTACATGACATTGCCAATTAACTTTTCTTAAATAGTTATAAATAATGAGCTTTAGTAATGAACAAACTTTAATTTTTAAAATAAGCAAGTGCCTTTAGGAAAGGATTTGTTAGTCTGAATTGACCTGAACTGAACTTTATTGAAAATATGCTTTTAAATCAGCGGCACACATCAGAATGATGGTGCGTTCACAACAGAAACATACAAAATCAAGGTAATTAAAAAGAAAACTAAACTAAAAAACTACAAGCAAAATAAAGATATAAAAATTCAATATAGTACACTACAAAAAAGCAGTTTAGTACAGTATTTTATTGGTATTTGGAAATACAACAGTTATCTTACTAAAGCCTTCTCATTATTATTGTTATTATTAATGATATTAATATTAATAGTTATTACTAATATTATTATTTTTATTATTATTTTTGCAAATTATTTTTTATTAAATTGTTATTATAGGCCTTTAAAATTACTTTCTCTGTTAATATAAAATCAAATAATGCAAATAAAAACAATAAACCAAATGTGAAAAAAAGAAACAAAGGAAATAATAAAAGTATAAATAAAAACACATATAGAGATAAATCAGCACAGAATCAATGATAAATAAATAATAAAGGTTGTTACATATTTAATTAGTGGGCGGAATATCATTTAATGTAATTGTTCTGTATTTCCATAGTTTAAGAAAACTACAGGAAATCGCTTGGCTATAAAAAAAACACCTTCCAAATTCCCGGAATGTTCTAATGAGATAATTTAGTCCACCATTAAATTAATTATTGATCAAAATTGGATTTAATTTTGAGGAAATCTAAACGAAACACAGACTATTTACCAAGAATTCTTGACATGCAGTATTCTTAAGATTAAACAATTACTAAAGAAAAATACTGCATTAATTATACGTAAGATATGGATGATGTTTCTCCATCGCAAGTAGGCTTGAATTATTCATATATAACCCTGTTGCTGATGGTCGTGAAATGGAGATTAAATGAGTTTACAGATGTACTGTACAGGACTTTCTGCAAATGTCTTTTTTCCTGAAGCTATACCAATGCAGCACAACACCTGAGAGGAAGGCAATGCATTATCTTATTGCTGTAGACTTTAAATGGCACGTGCAAGATCAGATAATGTTGACTTGTTTGTGTAAAGATATTTTAATTTCTCAACCCATTAGGCCTCTTCCTCCACTCATTTAAAAGGCCTTCAGCAATCAACATTTTATTTTTTTAAACATGTTTTGCAGCAATTATGCAAATATTCCATGTCAATCTACTTCCACCTTTAATACCACAGTAGCAGACATAGTCATCTTTAGTGTAAATGATGTCATGTATGAGTTTAAGTAGAAATATAAAGAAAACACCAAAGGCACAATATTTTATTATAAGAATTATCTCAAAGGTTATATAAACTTTTGTATAAGGAAAAGTACAAAGAGGTTACTATTAGTATACGGAGGCAATTGCTACTTTTCTATTGTACTGTATGTCAGAAACATTAATAACATTTGAATGTAAACGCTGTTTAATTTTTGACATACCGACTAAATCATTGCCGATGCTGGAATAAGAGTTTCTTCTTAAAAGAATGCAAATGATTTCCTTGTGAATTTTTACATAATTTAAGATGAAAAAGAAAGAAATTAAAAGATATGTCACTCACCAGTGAATCCACCATAACACATACAAGTGTATCCTGCCTCTTTCTGGATGCATTCCCCATTGTTACCACACGGATTGGAGTAGCAAAAGTTGATTTCGGTCTTGCAATAATTTCCAGTAAATCCCAGCGGACAGTCGCAGCGATACATAACTTCGGGATGTACTGGACGAAATATCACAGTTTCGACGGATATGAAATCAGCAACATCGGTGAATACAAATGGTGAGATGCACTGTGAGTAGTAGCTGCAGATCTCATTCAGGCAGAGATTGTCACCAAACGGTAAGACATTAGCTCCTGAGACACGCGACAACTCTGCTCTCTTCAGATAAACGCGCTCTTGAAGGTACTGGGACTGAAAGAATGTACGGTCAGTTTTCTGTGCAGCGAAGGTAACGTTTAGAACATTATGTCCCGTTAGGTCATCCCGGACACTGAAGAGGAACACATGTGTTTTCTCAGCAGGAATGATGGCAGCCAGAGCATCAATAAACTGGAGAAGCTTGTCACGAAGGAACTCACTGGATGAGATGTTTTCCAGCTGGACTGTGACAGAACTGAAGAACATTTCCTCTGTGATTAGAGTATTGTGGAAATTGCAGATTGCTCGTTTTTCATTAACGCCATCTGGAATGAACAATGATAAATAATTTCAGATTAAAGCCACAAAAAAATTAACAGTAGTCCTAATATTAACAGTGTTTTTTTAGCTTACAATATTGTCATTTTGCTTGACCACCAGTCTAATAAAACCTTCAAAACTTCAGTTTTAAATTCAAATTTTAATTTTATTATAATAAGGTTTTTTATATAATACTGATTGATGGTCTACGATATAATACTATATAATGATAAATGATAATAGATTTTCAGTTAACAACACTGGCCAATTTGCAATTGGCTAATAGTTTGAATATAATACACTAACTTTCTTAAAAGCCTTTTCCCATTATAGTATTTTCATTGCAGAAATGCAGACAAGTCAAAATGATGCAATGTAATTCATGATGACTAGATTAACTCATCAGTTATCCTTTCTCCAAAAAAAATGTATTGTTCTTAATAAACATGATTCACTCAGCATCAACATCACTTCATCTTTCAACGGCCTTCTACTGTTTCCACGGTTACGGCAATCAACAAACTTGCTTTTCATCAGTGGTGAATGAGTGGTTATCAATCCATAGTGACAATATAATGGATGATGTATAATATTTAAATTTTAAATACAGTCAGAACACATGGTGATTCACAATTCTATATGCTTAGAATACTGAATGCCATTTAAACCAGAGAAATGGACATAAGTCAAAAGACGTAGCAACCTTAAGTTGTCACTCATACTACTTGAGAAAACTGCAATTATTATATTGTTTATGTAACCTTCATTTTTCAGTATGCCATTACGAAAATGAAGGAGATGGCAATACACAATATCTATATAGAGATGAATCTTAATAGTGGTCTATATGAAGAAAATCTAATCTTTCAAATTCAATCTGTTTTTTCTGTTCTATTTTAAACAGATTACCCGGATCTGCTTTTAATAGCAGTAATAGTTTTTGGCAATATTTTTTCCAATTTATTCTAATCCTGACATTAGAGTTTGAGCTTAAAATTTGTATTTTACAATAGACCTTTCTGCTAAGCCAGCCATTAGTTTTTGAAAGGATGCGGTACATTAAACCGCGTAAATGTAAACATGCATGTTTGTGGGATATGCGTGTATTTTTGGCGTCAAAAAAGCACATTCTGATTGGTCATTTGTTGACACTACAGAAAAGTCCATGAAGTTAAAAAAAGATATGTAAAACATATACAGCAGACTAACTACTTCATGCACATTATACAATACAGTAGACCTATATCTGTTTCTGTGGCCTATACAATAAAAGGATCCATACAGTATATGATAACACATACCAATCAACAATAGGTACAATAGCTGTGCTATATAGAAACTGCTTACATCAGACAGGCTTTGTTCCCCTATAGAAAATGAGCATTCAAAAGATGTTGAGCATAAATTCACGAAGTACAGGTAAAATTCTATGCAAACAAAATCCGTAAACATCCCCTTTGAAATATTTTAAATGATGGCTCATCTCTAGCAACTCGCTCACTTGGTCCTATTCAGGTATTAAATATTTTACAAGTAAATAAGGAATTTTAAATTCTATATTGTAAATTGACAATGAAGACTCCGACTTGTGATTATGAAGAAGGGGTGTGTAAGTTTATTGGAGTTCATGCCCCCTAATAATTATCCCTGCTAAATAGATATGGACGACAGAAGTTCCTGAATAATGAAACATTCTTTTGGTTTAACACATACATAGTCAAATGTTTAATACCAACAATTAAACTATACACCAGGAAGGAAGTGACTGTCCAATTCTTAATACAAAATGAAATAAAATGCAATTCAATTTTTTTGAGTTAGACTAAGATGCTTATGAATAGATTGCAATAAGGAGTGGAACAAGTTTATCGGGAATACTGTATGTACCCTAGCAAAACAACATATATCATGGAAGATACATGACATATCCAACCTTTGATAAAACTTAAACTAATGATGATGTACATACATGAGTAACATGATATATACTGAAATAATATTATAAATATTATTTGAACTTTGAATGGATACTTCACAACTCCTTATTTATTAGTACACTCAAAGGGGAGAGGGGTGGTAAGCATTGATATGAAGGTGAGTTAGGCCTTGACATGACTCCCAAGGTAGACCTTGTAAACAACTGTCTGCGAGGGGTGTAACAAATTATACTTAAAAGTTACACTAATACCCGATTCACACGTGAAGTTAAATTTAACAAAAAGTAACAAATTGTAACCGAGCGATCTCCTGAGTTATTCCTACCAAGATAAAAAGCATTCACACGCGTCTGTAAGGTAATGCCAAGGTCGTGTAAAATTTATTCAGTGTTTATTCAATGAAACATTTTTTCCCCTACTGCGATATAGGTCTAGCCTAGGCCTAGTTGAGAACCTCTGTCACAGATGGACTGTTGAACTCACCATCACAGTACACATTCGAAGCAATCAATGCCCTTAACAACTGCTGTACTACTACTACTAAATAAGGCATAGCTTCCAACATTTCTGTCGACTCTTGATAATACTAGTAATAGTACTAACACCATCCCGACGTTCATTTTATGTATATCTTCTTCTTCTACCATTACTAATTAACATCAATAACAAGGGTAATTCATTCATCATTGAGAAAAACTAGGCCTATCTATTTCTAGTGGATCAGAATCGTCTGCAGAAAGAAGAAAATTCGAGAACCCCGTGAAACACAGTAAATTGTTGTTGTGTTGAAATCCCTGCGCATGCGCAGATCCATCCATGCTACATCTCGGAAGCTTTACCAGCCTCAGCGAGGCTGGTAAAGATTACCGAGACATTCCGAGATTTTACAAGGATATTACACGGAGGTACTTTCACACGTGCCGTAAAATGTTACTTTTGGTTACATTTGGTAAGATTTTTGTACGTGTGAATCGGGTATAAGTTACTTACACATATAATTTCAATTATTTTACGTATTGTTTAAACATAGGCCTATTCTTTATCTTTTTAATACTTACATTTTTAAAGTTTAGGATATTAAAGAAATTTTGTTTGTTAATTGATGGGTGGTGGAACTACAATATTTTTTTAAAAGTAAATAAAGTGATAAAATGTGCAATAAATAGAAAAGTTTGTAAAGCGCCTTGAAACAGGCGTTTTAGTTATATTGTGGAAGGCCCTATAAATCTGTCAAAATAGAGATCTAATGTTTTCAACTAATTCATTTATCTATTCTGTATACAGTATAACACTCAACATTGAACTAAAAGTTGAAATTTAATCTACCAATCCTCTCTTTGCCTATCATCATTAATTAACGTGTAAATTCTGATGCTGTAAAAAATAGTTATCTCTATGAAATTCTACTCTAGTAGGCTTAGGTTCATTCTAATAATGCTAAAGTTTTTTCAAATCTAAACTATAAAAGCTATCAATACTTCAACTGCTACAAACCATCAGCATATTTGGTTTTTTTTTTATCAATTTATGGGTAAGCACAACTGATAAATTTAGGAGGGGATTTATATTAAATACAGCAGAAGCAACTGGGGAGACACAATCTAGTAATTATCATTTATGTACCTGATTGACTTGTGTGTTTTAATTATGTCGGTCTTATCCTGTATATGGTAGTAGCGCATTATATGGTAAGGCCTCTTATATGCGCATCACGTATATATCTCGGTCACTGGATCGAATACAAACGGAACATACATTCAGCTTCCTTGGGGTATATTCCATCAAATTACAGATCAGTACATGGCATATGAACCTACTACTAGGACTAGGTACCCACTTAACTCCTGGGTGGAAAGAGATGGCATGTAATATGCCTTGCCGAAGGTAACAAGCCATTCAATTAATAGGCCAAATCCTTATTTCTGCACCATATCCTTCTAAGTATTATGCATAATTCCTGTGCATTATTACATACAATAATTTACTATATACACAATCAACAGTGATTAAAACTACTACACAGGGTAAACATACGTAAACTATTAGAGAAATATCATAAACAGTTAATGTACATTTCTCATGAATTATGTATATTTCTTGCACATTATAAAATGCTTGTATAGGTATAATAAAATTCTCAACCAGTATGTATTCTCATGCATTATTCATGTTCACGTAATTTGCATATCTCGTGTATGGTGACTAATATTAGGCCTAAAGTCTTATTTACAATGTATGAATGGATAATATTTTTGTAAATTTGTGCAGATGATGGCTACCAATACTATTAATTAAAACAGAACACATGAAAGACAAAAATATTTTAAATACAGTACACTAGATTCTAGAACCTAATATATTTATAAGCCATGGTTTTATAGGTTGTTATTTCATCACTACAGTAGGTGACCAGGGTTTAAGCTGGCCAAAAAACTTATTTATGGATATGGCTAATTTGGTATGAATATCATTAGCCATATACAGTACTGTAGAAATGCGATACCAAAACAAAACAGAATATAAGCAATGATAGCTTCAATTCCATTAGCTTTCTGAGTAATTTTGCATGAAAATATTTTACAAACTTCAGCTTTCATTAGGATTTAGCTATTTGGTTAATGACACAGCTTAAACTTCAGGTGACTAAAATTTATAAGCTAAATATTTACCTAATAAACAATGCCATTATATGTTCATACTTTTATTGTAATGTTAATTGTCTTTTTCTCTATTGGCTGTATAAGATAATTTACAAGCATACGGTGCATAACCTCTTAAATGGGCAAATATGGTATGCTAACACGAATGAATACACTTAAAAGCAAGTAAATTAAATATTGTGTTGTAAAGCATGAAATGGAAAATAAACTATAGAATGGCTGATGAAAACTGAATAAACATTCAATGTTATTGGTATTGTGGTGTGTGTTAATATAAATATTGAAAATATATCTTATTTTACATATTTTTTGTTGTAAAGAATGATTGATTGATGAAATGATTTAACATACACTAGTACATTTCTATACCCCAATTTGCCAAATTACTATGAGTCAATTTTTCCTAAA